CCCGGAGCGCCGGGCGGGGTGCGCGGGGAGGGCGGCGGGGCCGGCCCCGGCCCCTGCACCTGTCACCGGCCCCGCGGCTCGTCCGGAGCCTGGCGGGGTGGGGGCGCGGCCTCGGAGCTCGGCTGCCGGGCTGCTGTTATGTAAATAACGGCCCGGTGCCCCCGCCAAGTTCATGGCGACACTGCTCTTCCAGGGCATCGCCGCTGTCCGGCCAGGTTTACACAGCTCTCTCTTTGCACGTGTGTTACAGGTAGGAAAATGACTCGCCTGGCACGGGAGCAGGAGTTATGAGCCATGTCCCAGTGAGACCGGCGGAATTAAGAGCAAATGCCTGGAGAAGTCCAGTTGCACAGAGCAGTGCTACAGCTCTTGTGAACTGCGGGTATCGACGCCTCTCAGACTCACTTCTCTGGCCCCGAGCACTCTGCCAGTAATTCCTGCCCCACGAATGGCTACTCAGAGGAAGCACTTGGTGAAAGATTTCAATCCTCATATCACCTGCTATATCTGTAAAGGTTATCTTATCAAGCCAACTACAGTAACCGAGTGCCTCCATACCTGTAAGTAGTACTTTACAGAATATTCCCTTCTTCATAAGTGATGGTTGCTTGAAGTGTGAATGTGTTTAATATGACCACTGTGCTGGTTTTTGTTCACTGAATTTTTACATGAAATCCTCTGAATGAATTCAGTCTCAGCTGGGGTTTCCTAAACACTGGTCTCCAATCTGGGTCATCTTGAACTGTGTGCAGTACTGTGCTCCACAAGTACAAGTACACAGAGCTCCTGGAGCAGGTGCAGTGGAGAGCTACTAAGTTGATCGAGGGTCTGGAGAGGAAAGGCTGAGGGATTTGAGCCTGTTCAGCCTTGAGAAGAGGCGACTGAGAGGGGACCTCATTAATATGTATACATATCTAAAGGGTGGGTGTCAAGAGGATGGAACCAGGCTATTCTCAGTGGTGCCAAGCAAAAGGACAAGAGGCAATGGGCAGAAACTGATGAACAGGAAGTCCTACCTGAACATGAGGAAGAACTTCTGCATTATGTGAGTGTGCACTGGATCACCCAGAGAGATTGTGGAGTCTCCCTCGTTGGAGATATTCAAGAACTGGATGCAATCCTGTGCCATATGCTCTAGGATGACCCTGCTTGAGCAGGGAGGTTGGACCAGATGACCCACTGTGGACCCTTCCAACCTGACCAGTTCTGTGAAAGTATGTCAACTCTGCTCAATGCCTTGTAAAGATACCTCTTTTCTTTCTCCTAAGCTAGTGGTGATTGTGCTGGCTCTAACACCAAACTTGTATCACTGTGGCCTGGCTGATCACAGGTGAGATCATTAGTCAGGTCAGGTGTGCTATTTTGATACTATAACTATGCTCTTGAAACTTAAACTAATGTATCTGTTGACAGTGTGCATGATGGATACACAAGTTTGGTCAGTACTGGCACACAACTCTCTGTAGTGTGTTCCATGGCAAAATGCAGTGAAGTACTTAAAAGTTGGCAAAATATTTATTTAGGGAGTAGATTTCTTTCAATAAAACTGTCTCAGGAAAAATATTCAGGTTGTCTTAGGCTCCTAATATATCTAAAACATTGGCGTGTGTGAATTATATTAAGCGTATGAATGGTCCTGTCAAACTCAGTCATCTTACTTCCACACTTGATTTTTTTACATGTATTCCTGAATAGACAGTAGTTTGATTGGACCTTCTTGAGAATTTGATGTCTTTCCAAATAAAACTTGAACTCTTCTAAAAGAAGAGTCTGATAGATTTCCCATTTTCAAACCTTTAATATCAGTTAAAAGCCTTGTCTTGGCATTTCCTATCATTTCTGCACAGTGTTGTTCTTACAGTTGTTATTGTTGTCTTGCAGTTGTTACTGTCTTCACTGTTAATTTTTACATTATGGTGTTATGTCCCCACTATATCACGCACATATACAATTAAAACAACAGAAGCCACTGTGCAGCAGGAAAACTGTGGCATAGTTGCCATCACAGAACCATGATGGGATAACTCACAACTGGGGGGGCTGCAGTGGATGGCTATAAACTCTTCAGAAGGGATAGGCAAAGGAGAGCTAGTGGGGTAGCACTCTATGTTAGGGAGTGTTTTGGGTGTCTAAAACTTAGTGCTGGTGATAATGAGACTTGAGTGTTTAAGAATTGGGGGGAAGGCCAACAAGGCAGATATCATTGTGGGAGTCTGTTATAGATCACCCAACAAGGATGAAGAGGCAGATGAAACATTCTGTAAGCAGCTGAGGGAAGTCTCACAGTTTCTAGCACTTGTTCTGGTGGATGACTTTGACTTAGCAGAGTCTGCTGGAAGTACACTGCAGTGGAGAGAAGACAGTCTAGGTGTTCCTGGAGAGTGTGGAGGGTAGCTTCCTGACAGAACTCACAGGAGTGAGGCCCTGATGGACCTGCTGTTAGTGGACATAGAAGGACTGGTGGGTGGAGGCTGTCTTTGAGCACAGCAATCACAAAGGACAGACTTCAATTCTTGGAGAAGTAAGAATGTTGTTTAGCACAACTGTTGCTCGGACTTCTGGGGGTCCGACTTTGGAGCCTGGTTGCCAGTCCTTTGGGAGGCAGTCCTGAAGGGCAAAGGAATCTGGGAAAGCTGTACATGCTTGAAGGAGGAAATCCTAGAGACACAGGAGCAGGCTATCCCTATGTGCCAAAGATGAGCTGTCAGGGAAGATGACCAGCTTGGCTGTACAGAAAGCCTTGTCTGGAACTCAGTAAAAAAAAAGGAGAGTTTATTAATTTGGAAGAAGGGGCAGTCAACTCAGGAGGACTGCAAGGATGTCATGAAGTTATGCAGAGAGAAAATTAGAAGGGCCAAAGCCCAACCAGAACTTAATCTGGTTACTGCCATAAAAGAGAATTAAAAATGTGTCTGTAAGTCTATACATTAGCAACAAAAGGAGGTCTAAGGAGAATCTCCATCCTTTATTGGATACAGAAGGAAAATAGTGATGAAGAATCAGGAAAAGACTGAGGTACTTAATAGAGGTAAGTTATTAGAGGGAGGTAAATGTATTATTAAATTCTTTCCCTTTAAGGAAACTGGAAAAATTCTGGTATTAGCTAATTTTTTTAAGGTTGAAGTTTAATGAACAGTAGTAACTTTTAAAAGGTAGGGTGAGAGGGAAACAGTTACTTCAGAAATCAGCTCAGATTTGAAAATATGTTTTTATTCTGTATATTTTTGTTTAGATAATTTAGTTGTTTATTTATTTTCACTCCCATTACAAAACAATAATGGCAGGAGTGTTTTCAGTGGCATCTCTTTCTTTTGTTTACCTGTAAATTGAGAGCTCTTTACTGAGGCAGCTCTGTTACTGCCTAGTCCCCACATTAGAGGACATGAATTTTACTGAGCTGCCATAGAGTTACACAGGTCTCCTCCCCAAAAAGCTGCCACGTGTTTGGGTCATTAAGTAGAACTGCAGGAAAGCAGGTGTTGTTTCTTTAAAGAAAAGTTTAGTTGCCAAAGTACAAAACTTACAGTGATGGAAGGAAAAATTAAATTAAAAAGTAGTGACATGAAAGTCTTCTGTCTGCAGAGGAAAAGATGACTCTGTGTGGCAGAATTCAGGATATCGTAAAATACAATGATTTTAACTATCCCTTGATTTTTTTTTTGTACTATTAATTGCCGTAAGTCAAAACATTGTTGCACAAAAGATCAAAATCTGCAGATATTAATGGCTGAAGAAGCAGCATAAATTCATTAGATACTGGGAATACAATGTATTACTCTGGAAAGATGAGAAGCATGTATTGACATAGGTATTCTCCAGTGTTCATAGGGGATCTGTTGTGATCAGTAGCAACCAAAGCAGTTAGTGGTTCATTCGCACATTCTGTGTGGTTGAAAAATGTTAGGTAGTAGAGTTCTACTCTGAGAAATGAGTGCCTTTTTAATAAGGGTTGTTTCTGATGGGGTTTTTGGAAGTGTTGGACAGATAACTCCACCATTTACTGGGAAACATAAGTGCAACTTGGGCATCAGGAGTACAAACTTCCCTATCTCTGCTGTGAAGGAAATGATTATGTTGCTGCAAAATAATTACTTATTCTGCAAATTCAGTACTTAATTTCTTTTTTGCTACTTCCAACAGAATGGTTTTCTCTTATGGGCTGAGAGCTTTTTTCTAGTCTGTTACACAGTTGTCAAGGATGTTTAAGAACTACTGATTGAAGCAGGCTGGGTGTGAGCTAAAGGCCATGTCCCATGATCTGTTGTTTAGTACAGTGTGCGCTTACAAAATTTGGAAAATAAAAATAAACTTTTCTCGGGAACGTTCTTTAGTGTCCTAAAAAAATATCGGACTGTTTACACAATCATAGAAATGCTGGTTGAAAGGGACATCTGGAGGCTGCCTAGACCAACATGCATGAGATGAGTTCATTGCCAGCACTGTACCAGGTCAAGCCATGGCTCTGTATAGTTGACATGTGGCTTTTCAAGCATGAGGTCTCTACAGCCTCTCTCAATAGCCTTTTCCAGTGCTTCAGTCTTTACCTAGTTTTCCTGAATGTCCTACCAAATGTCAATGTGGGACCATTGCTCCTTGTGATACTTGCCACTCCCAAGAAGACAGGGCTCCGTCACTCCTGTAACTGCTGTTCAAACGGTACAGGCTGTTATTAGGTCACCTGATGGTCTATAATATAATTCACTTTTGGCAAATTTGTACTGCCTATTCCTGATTACATTTTTGTCCCTCATGTTGTTGGAAATTGATTCCAGGGGTCATGATGTAATCTACCATCTTTTTAGGGAGCTAGGGGAAACTGTTGAACTGTACTTACCTGGGTCATCCTTCCCCTCTTTAACAAAGGTGGGTTTAACACCCTTTTCTAGTCATTGGGCACCTTTCATAATCACCACGATTATGGTGATAAGGTATCATCTTAGTAAATCCTATCTGGCCTGTAGATTTGAATATGTCAAGTTTTCTCAGTGAGCCCAAACCTGCTGCTCCTTGTCTATTGATCATCCCTCTCCTTCCCAAATCATGCGTGGAGATCAGGCTCTGTCTGTGAAGACCAAGGCAAAAAGGTGCTGAGGACTTCAAACCTTTCTGTACAACCTATTCCTAAGTTGTTTCCTTCATTCATTAACAGGCAAACATTTTGTGTAAATTTCCTTCAGCTACTAGCATACTTACACAATTCCATTATGTCTCTCACTAGTTTTAGCTATGGCTGGGCCTTGGCTTTCCTACTTTTGTCCCTAAGTGCCAGAGTAGTGATTTTATATCTTTTTGTTTCCCATCCTTGTCTCCACTTCTAATATGCTCTACTTTTGCATATTAATTAGGAACTTTATGCACCAAGCAGTTTGTGTGCACTAAGCAGTTCTTTAGACAAAATTCCTTGTACAACAGACTGGTTAGTGTAGCAATGGGACACGAACACCCTTGCTGGTCAGCAAGAGAATCATTTATTATTTATTTCAAGCCTCTATTTATAGAGGAACTAGTTTCATTTCTGATCTGTGAGCTAAGCATCTTCAACCTATCAACAAGCAATACT